ACCTTCCCTCTCATCCTACTCATCCCTTCCACCTGATTTAATGCTACTCTAACTCTCTTGTGTAGTAATTGTGAACTTGTGTGAGAACTTTGTGATTGAGTTAAGATTCTACCCCCTAGTGTGCCGAAATTGATAACTCAAGAAATACTTCCTTTTTCGTATGATTCAACTTCGGAATTGTAGCCACAGAGTAGAGCTACATTATATATGAGTTTGGTGAAGTTTTGACCGTGAACGTTTCATCGACGGCGTTTCTTGTGAGCGTGACTTCTCTGTCCAGAATTCTAAGCCAACGATTTCGAGAATTTTAGGCACCTAATCTTCGTAGACACCGTCCTTAGTGTCTAACAGAGGCGGAGGCTACAGAGCGGAGGTTGCTCTCGACGTCCTTGAGTGCAGACTCAAGGACCTCGATAATGAGCTCACTAGAGTGCTTTAGAAGAAGGGTGTCACGGACTGAGGCAAGGCAGTTAGGGAGGCTAGTGGGGATGAAATAGATAGTAATCGCCATGGGGGGAGGAAGCAGTGCAAGCTGTGCCTCAGTGCAAGCAGCACGGTAACTAGAATTAAGCAAGCGGAGGTGAGCAATCAAGTCAGCAGAGTGCTCAAAAGAGGCGAGGTCAGTGAACAGGAATGGTAGGAACGGTAGGAAGAGAGACATAGGTGGGAGTAGCGTAGCGGACCTTAATCACAGTCAGGAACTCACAAGCATTGCGAACCTGAGTGAAGTCGGCCTCCTCAGACTCAGGAAGGACGCTGCTAAGAGCGATGAAGGCTGCAGCGTCACGCGACTTCCACGCCGACAGATCAGTACGCTGGCGGGTGAAGTGGTCCCTGGCTGCGTCGTCAGGGGCGGGGCCTAAAGGCATAGGGTCGTCGGGCGCAGGAAGGTCATCAGTATCGTGCGCCCAGAGGGACTCGCCCACCTTAACCTGGCTCTCTAAATGGCGACACGCGCGTAGGAGCCAGACCGGAAACTCGAGTGGTCTACCGTCAGCGTCAAAGCAAAGAACCCTAGGGGTCGCCATAGTGTAAGTAGAAGCGACAAGTCCGGCGGTGGGTGGCAGTGGTAGGGACTGTGGGCGGCTAGGGCCACTCCCTGACAGGCGCAAAACATGGGCGCAATGGGGCTAGGGGCGGTCCAGCGGCGGACTGAACGAGTAGGCGCAGCGGTGCGAAGGAAGGGCATAACGAGCGGGCCTGTAGCGGACCTAATGAGGAGGCGTGGCGGCTGGCGGAACCGGCAGGCGCGACGGCTGTAAGGGAGGGCCCACGGCGGCTATAAGGGAGGGCCTGCGGCATGCCTAACGAGCAGGCGCGGCTGCGGGCGGTATGGGCAGGCGCGGCGGCTATAAGGGAGGGCCCGCGGCGGCTGTAAGTGAGGGCCCGCGGCGGCTGTAAGGGAGGGCCCGCGACGGGCCTAACGAGTAGGCGCGGCGACAGGACGAGCGGGGCGTTGCGGCGACGAAATGCGGGGCACCGCGACGACTAAATGCGGGCCGCCGCAGCGACGAAATGTGGGGCGCCGCAGCGACAAAACGCGGGGCGCCGCGGCGACGAAATGCGGGGCGCCGCGGCGACGAAACACGGGGCACCGCTGCGATGGAAATAAAGGGCGCCGCGGCGACAAGCGCGGCGCGCGAGCGGGCGTTTAGGGCAGCGGGGGGAGGACATGACGCGACGGGCAGGGTGGGAGGTCACATCGCGACGAGCAGCGGGGGAGGGTGTGACGGGACGGGAAGCCAGGGCGAGCGCTACGCTACGCGGAAAGCATGTCGGCGGAGCAGGCGCTATGCTACGCTACACGGAATGCAGGTCGGCGGAGCGGGTGCTACGCTACGCGGAAAGCAGGTCGGCGGAGCGGGCGCTACGCTACGCTACACAGAAAGCAGGTCGGCGGAGCGAGCGCTAACGAACGAGTGAGACTGGATCGGGCCGGCGCTAGGCTTGGGCAAGACGGGTACGACTAGTACGAGAGAGCGAGACAGGCTCGGGTGGAACGAACGAGGACAGGAGGAGCGGGATCCCATAGGATCCTAACCAAGGTGATACCATGTCAAGAATGAAATTGTTGTGTTATTGATGAGGGTTGGGGTACATCAAGCAAACCCTAACATTTGTACCCCCTAAGACAAACCTCACTACAGGCTACAACATTTGATAGCAACTCCGCCGAGCTTGCGTACAACCACTTGAAGAACCTGTATTAAACAACAGACAGCATCAATCGGACTTGGTTAATGGCACAGCTGACAACAGTGGAAGTGAAACCCAGCGAAAAGGGGATGGCGTGTATCAGCCGTTGTCGTGGATTGCGCGACAGACTCATTCGATGCGGAGGATCGATATCTGAAGAAGCCTTCGTCACAGTCGACATCTCTGGCCTCGGTCCTCATTGGCGCTCCACTCGAGCTATACTCCGAGTGTCAGAATCAGTAGCAAAAATTTTAGAACATGAAAGAGGGTTTGCACTAGCAGGCAGTTGAGTACATATAGGAAAACCTAATTTGGGCTTTACTCGTTATAGAGTACCCCACTGCAGGCTAGACAAATATCACATTCTGACACACCCCCATAGTCAAAGTGGGGTATAATCACACAGCAAGCAATCATAGAGCAGGTTCACAAGTACAAGCAAAGCTAGAGGCATTCACGAAGGGCAAGTGAGGAGGAGGAGGCGGGACTGTGAGAGGAGAGGAGATAGGAGGCGACGGTTGAAGCTGCAGACACACGGGCAACAGGAGCGGCTGGCACAGCGGCTACCGGAGCAGCGCCCTGGACTACTGTAAGTAACTGGCTTCGCGGCTAAGACGAGCGGCAGGAGCAACGGACCCACGGGCGACTGGTGTAGCAGGCTCGCTGGGCTACCGGAGCAGAGCCCCAGACTACTGGCGCTGCTGACGACACGACGGCTGCCTCCGCTCAACCTCCCCCAACTATCCCACCCCCCTTTCACACACCCCCTGCTGCACCCCTAGCTCCAATCCCGAGTCACCCCCCTAGTGCAACTCCCTCGGCTCCCACTCACCCACCCCCCTCAGTGGCAGCTGCAGCAGTGGGAGACGGAGGAGGAGGAGGAGCAGGGGAGGGCTCACACACCCGTCACCCCCATACCCGCCACCCCATACCCCAAACACAGGCCGCGCACGGGTCCCTGGGGCGCTGCGACGGGCGACAGGCAGGGCGGCGCGCAGGCCTCCAGGGCGACGGGAGGAGGGGGCGACGCGCGGGCCCTTAGGGCGCCACGGTAGGCGATGGTCAGGGCGGCGCGCGGGCCCCGGGCGCTTCAACGGGCGACTGGAAGGGAGGCGGCGCGCGGGCCCCCGGGACGCCACGACAGGCGACGGGTGGGGACAGCGTACAGGCCCCCGGGGCGCCGCCCGACGAAACCGCCGCGCGCGCCCAGGGCGCACGGCGGGTAGAAACCGCCATACGCCCCGAGCGCGTGGCGGGCAAAAAAACGCCTCAGCGTGCTAGGGGCGCGTAGTGGGAAGAAAAAACGCCACATGCGCAGGGCGCGCGGTCCCGGCAGTTTCATGTCCCGAGTCAGCAGCAGTCAACGACACTGCAGCATCAACTTCGGCCTTCAAGCAGTCAAGTGGTCTCCACACAGGCGCATTCCACCAGTCAACCGCAATCTTCAACAACATCGACGACACAATCTGCACAAGGAACAAGAAACATCGTCAGTTGCATGGCGAGATTGACAGATTCTTGCATCACCGAATCACCGCCGTATTAATCACCGGAAGAACAACTCGACGAAAGCACCCCTCGCCACGAGTCACTGGAGCCGAACCTGACATATGCAGCCATCGCCTAGAGCGAGCCGTCTAGAAAAGACACCTAGTTCCTGGACAGCTGTTGCGGACAGCACGTGTGCTCCTCGGGTCGCTTCATTCAACGAGAACACCAGCTTTAGCGCGAAGTCGTAATCACCGTCGCCAACAACCAGAACCTGTGCACACGGCGACAAGGGATAGTACAACTTCAGTCAAGGGAAACAAACGCCATCTTACAAATGTCAAAGGTTTTAATCGCGGAGGGACTCAGCTACAACTTACTCAGCGTCAGTCAACTGATGGCGAAGGGTATTCACCTCGAAGCAGACAACACCACGAAAGAGGCGAACTATACATCGGCAAGGCAGTGTTGAAAAACAATGTCTTCGTCCTCGACTTCGCTCCAGATCAAGGCACCGCCGACAGCGACGGAATCGTGACCTTCACCTCCTGGACACATCCGCCAGTTCTCGACCCCGACTTCAGCCCTGGCGGCTTCTGGTATTTGAATACCATACCTGGTACGCGGCCTCTACGCGGCCCGCTGCCGCCCTTACTCGGCCCGTCGCTGCCCGTCGCACCCCGTCGCCGCCCTTCCGCGGCCCGTCGCCGCCCTTACGCGGCCCGTTGCCGCCCTTCCCGGCCCGTCGCCGCCCTTCGCAGCTCGGCGCCGCCCTTCCCGGCCCTTCGCGTCGCCCTAACGGCTCGTCTCCATCCTCTTACGGCCCGCCGTTGCCGCCCATCGGCTCAGCCCGCCGCCCTTGCGGCCCCACGAGCCGACGGTCGGCCCACCGTGCGCCACCCTACTCGGCCCCGGCGCCTCCTCCTCCGACCCCGCGGCCGCCCCACCTACCCTCGAGCCGCCACTCCACCTGGCCCCTCGAGCCGTCGTCACAGAGGCAGGAGCCGCCGCAGCCGAGCCGCCGAGCCGCCCAGCAGCCGAGCTGCCGAGCCGCCGAGCCGCCCAGCAGCCGAGCTGCCGAGCCGCCGAGCCGCCCAGCTGCCGAGCCGCTGAGCAGGCGAGCCGCCCAGCAGCCGAGCCGTCGAGCCGCCCAGCAGCCGAGCCGCCGAGCCGCCGAGCCGCCGAGCCGCCGAGCCGCCCAGCAGCCGAGTCACCCGCCCTTCCGAGCCACCCGAGCAGCCGTTTCCGGTAAGTGCGGCGCCTCTGTCACTGCACTGCCCTTACCCTACTGTTCGCGCTACTAGTCTACTGCTGTCATGGCTACCCCTAGTGTCCTCCCTTTTAACGCTGAGGGTCGGGCCATTGACTTTGACGTCTCGGTAGATGACCTGCAGCTTTTCCTCCAGTGCGATAGGGCAGACGGTCTCTCCCTCTTTGACCTCACCTCTGGTGCCTCTCCTGCTCCTGCTGCTGATGCTGACGCCACTGTTCGCTCACAATGGGCCACGCGCGATGCTGCTGCACGTCTTGCTGTGCGTCGCCACCTGCCTACCTCTGAGCGTGCGCACTTTAGTCAGTACAAGAGTGCTCAGACCTTGTACGATGCTGTAGTTGCACGCTACTCCTCCCCTGCCACTGCTGCACTAGGCCGCCTCATGCTACCGTACCTCTTCCCTGACCTTGCTGCCTTTCCCACAGTCGCTGACCTCATTACGCACCTCCGCACTAGTGAGACTCGCTACTGCGATGCACTTCCTGCTGAGTTCTGCGCCAAGAACCCCCCCCCCCCCCCATGTATATCACCCTCTACTTCATAGTCACCCGGCTCCCTGACTCCCTTCGCGTAGTCAGAGACCACTTCCTCGCAGTGTGTCCCACCACTCTCACCGTTGACCTCCTCGAGAAGGCCCTCCTAGCAGCGGAGAAGAGCATAGTCGCTGTAGGAGCCTCTCGTGGTGACCCCTGCACCCCTGTCTTTGAGGGGTGTTCTCCCTCCCCCCTCTTGCCCTCTGTTGCTTCTGCTGCTGCAGCCGACCTCGTTGGTTTTGAGTCGGTCGGCGCTGCGTCTGCCCCTTCGGGGAAGCGCCGCACAGGCAAGGGCAAGGGGGGCAAGGGCGTTGGAGGAGCGGGCGAGGGCGGTGGAGGCGGCGGTGGAGGCGGCGGAGGGAGTGGGGGTGGTGGTGGGAGTGGTGGGAGTGAGTGTTGCTGAGCTCGTCGACTCTGCTGCTCGCTGTCGCCTAGACTACGTTGCTAGTCTTGTCGCTGAGTCTGAGTCTGTCTCTCCTCCGTTCGTCAAGGGTGAGTGTGCCCTTGGCACGGACGTCCTTGAGGACAGGCGGAAGGAGTTCCAGTGTCAGGGTGCTGCTTCACCTCATCTCGTATCCGTACTACTTACCCTTGAGGGAGACCCAGATGCACTTGACATCCCGACTCCGCGCTCTTACGCGGAGGCGATAGAGGGTCCCTACTCTTCTCAGTGGCAGGCAGCTATGGACACAGAGATGGCTTCCTGGAAGTCCACAGGCACCTACGTTGACGAAGTTCCCCTGCCTGGGGCGAACATCGTCAGTGGCATGTGGATCTTCAAGGTGAAGCGGCCGCCGGGCTCTCCGCCTGTCTTCAAGGCACGGTACGTGGCTCGTGAGTTCAGTCAGCGGCAGGGAGTTGACTACTTTCAGACCTTCTCTCCCACCCCGAAGATGACCACTCTTCGGGTACTGCTGCATGTTGCTGCTCACCGTGACTACGAGTTGCACTCTCTTGACTTCAGCACAGCTTTCTTGCAGGGCAGCCTGCACGAGGAGATTTGGTTGCGTCGCCCACCTGGCTTCACTGGGTCGTTCCATTCTGGTACCCAGTGGAGTCTCCGGCGCCCAGTCTACGGTCTCCGCCAGGCGCCCCGCGAGTGGCACGACACACTGAGGAATACGCTTGCGGCTCTTGTGTTCGCTCCTTCTACTGCCGACCCGTCGCTGTTTTCGCACACCGACACCTCTCTGCCGCCGTTCTACATCCTCGTGTACGTCGACGACTTGGTCTTTGCCACAGCTGACACTGCTGGACTCGCCTACGTGAAGTCGGAGCTGCAGAAGAGACACACGTGCACAGACCTGGGTGAACTGCGCAGCTACCTTGGCTTGCAGATCACCCGGGACAGAGCACGCCGCACCATTACTCTGACTCGGTCACACATGGTGCTGTCAACGGGAGTTGGATATTGGCCCCGTCCTCGCTTGGGCGGAGCCGACTTCGTGGTCGGGTGTGAGGGGAGCAGCCGACCTTCAGCAGTGGGTGAGCTGGTCGACGAGGAGGTCGACCTGCACGGGGGACCACTGCACGGGCGCCGACTTCATGATGGCGCCGACTTCAGGGAGGTTGACTTGGGAGTCGACCTGCGGGTGACGTCAACTTGGGGAAGCCGACTTCAGCGGTCGGCTAACGAACCGCTGGTCGACCTGTTAGTGGTCGAGTGGACCTGGTGGTCGACGAAGGAGGGGCCGACGTTGACCTCGACTCAGGACGCCGAACAGTTGGGCGTCGAGTAGCGGGGCGTCAACTTTGTGACGCCAGCTTCGGGTGGCCGACGTGGGTGGTCGGCCGACGACTGTGCTGGTCGACAAGGAGTTGGTCGACCAGAGGGGACGTCGACCTGGAGGAGGTCGACCGATGGTGTCATCGACCTGGTGAGGTCGACGTGGAGGTGGTCGTCGACTTGGGAGGTCGACGGGCACGTACGGGAGCTGCTGGTGGACGTGGTTGCCCAGTCGACCAGGTTACCTTGGTGACGAAGTGCTGCGGAGGAGTGCGACGGTCGCCCAGGCGAAGTTGGCAAGCCCGACCTCGGTGGTGGTATCCCGAGGTCGTCATGGCGGATCAGAGGCAGTCGTCAGCTCAAGGTTGACTTGGTGTGTGCGCTGTGCAGGTGACGAGACTCTGCACGCCAATCATCTGCGCACAAATGCAAAGCAGGGTGCACTGCTGTCCTGCGAGAGCAACGCTGTCACGCCGTCAACCTGCGACGTTGGCACGCCGTCGACCTTGCCTTGCTGGAGCGCGGTCGACCAAGTCGTGCTGGAACACGGTCGACCAAGCTGCACTGGCAGTTGGCCGACCTGAATGCTTGCTCTGATGTAGTTTTGCTATGCCAACTTCATTGTATCATTGTTCTGAACTTTTTCCTAGTGAAACTCTTGCCAATTTTCCCCATGAACTAGCAAGTAGTGTGTGCACAAGGAAAACGGACTAAGGACTAACGAACGCAGAGATCACATGAGCACACGTGCCTAGCCCGTAGCCTAGCTCCCGTTGCTGCAGTTATCTCCGCAGGTGCAGCAGGTCCTTCAGCGCTTCGGCTTCACGTACTTCTCGCCTCAAGCCACTCCCCTGCCTACTCGCCACTCACTCTCAGCTCTGCCTTTGGATGAGTCCGTAGAGTCGAGTGGCCCGTATCCAGAGCTTGTTGGCTGCCTCATGTACCTGATGACCTGCACACGACCTGACCTTGCATACCCTCTTAGCATTCTCGCACGCTATGTTGCTCCTGGGAGACACTGACCAGAGCACATGGCCGTAGCGAAGAGGGTGTTGCGCTACCTGTGCAGTACGTCGGGCATGGGGCTAGTGCTTGGAGGGCGGAGTCCAGTGATCCTCACTGGGCACGCAGACGCTTCTTGGGCTGACGACCAGGCTACGCAGCGGTCGTCACAGGGCTACACCTTCAGCCTTGGTTCCGGCTCTATTTCGTGGCGGTCTACCCGCTCGTCTTCTGTTCTCGGCTCCAGTTGTGAGGCTGAGATCTACGCAGGGGCCATGGCTGCATAGGAGCTTCGCTGGCTCACCTACCTGCTGACTGACCTCGGAGAGCCGCCTCGTTCTCCTCCAGTTCTGTACGTAGACAACAAGGCCATGCTGGCCTTGTGTCGGGAGCAGAGACTGGAGCACAGAACAAAGCACATTGCTCTCCGCTACTTCCTTGCTCGTTAGCTACAGCAGCGTGGTCAGTTGCGGCTTGCGTACGTGGCCTCTGAGGTCAACACTGCTGATGTTTTCACCAAGGCACTTCCGCCTTGTGATCATCAGCGCTTCTGCACTCAGCTGGGTCTTGTGCCTGTCTTGCCTCACTTGCTCACCTCTTGACCTTGCTTGTACTGTTACATATATATATGCCTGCAGTTGCTTGTCTAGCTTTATATATATGTACACCCTTGCATGTGAACTGGCCTTGTGGCCTTGACCTTGTGCTCGGAATGTGTGGTGACTTTGAGATCCACCCTGAGCTTGCTTTGCTTTGCTTTGACTGGTCTTGTGACCCCTTGTTCTCCCCCACTTTGCCTATGGGGGTGTGTCAGAACATTGTATAGCTTATACATTTGTGTAGGCTGTAGTGGGGTATCCCATAGGGGGTAGAACCCAATTAGGGTTAGTACTTGTACCCACTTCTTTCATTGTTCATTCATTCTCGTTTCTTCTCAGCAACGACACTCCAGAGGTGAAGGGGAGTGTTGGAAACAATTAATTAAGCGCTTCTTGTGTGTCGTAACACCGAACCACAAACGAGGCGAACTACAGAGGAACAATGGCGAGTCAACCATTGGAGGTTGAGAAGAATAGCAACTACTGGAGGTTACGCGAAGGTCAAAGGTCAGCGACAGCAAAGACAAACAACTGACTCGTTATTGAGCATTTGCCCGAGTCGTCAGTGTATTGAACCACAACAGCAAACAGTAAAACGGTTATCAGCTGTATCCTTTCATATTCCTTGTATTCATATAAAACCTTGTATCTTCTTGCTTTAACCAATCTATCTTGCCCTTGCCAGAATCCCAACCCCTAATCACTGGGAGAAAAGAGCTTGTTAAGTAGCGGGTTAGTGCGCTCATAACCCCCCAGGACAACGAGCCTGTAACCCTTCCCTATAATCAATCGGGGATTAACACTAGACCTTTGACACCCCCTCGCACTGGGATGCCCGAAGTGCACACAGCGGGATTCGACCTCGATACCTTTGCTCCGATACCATTTCAAAAATTCCAGCCACTAACCACTACGATAGAAGGGCTTGTTTCAGTAGCGGGTCAGTGCGCCGATAACCCCCCAAGACAACTAGCCTGTAACACTTCCCTATGATCAATCGGGGATCACCAGTGGACCTCTGACAGCCCTCACATACCTGCGCAAGGTGGTTCAACACTTGTTACTAAACGCTTCCGCAAATACAACACTTCTACTCAGAGTTTAGCCTTGAAAATATCCTAAGGGCTATTCTTAGCTCAACACACCACACCCTACCTCTAACAGTCCATGGGAATGTTGTGAGAATGTGATATTTGTCTAGACTGGAGTGGGGTACTCTATAGCGAGTATAGCCCAAATTAGGGTTTCCTATATGTACTCAACTGCCTGCTAGTGCAAACCCTCTTTCCCGTTCTAAACTTCTACTTGCTATTTTGACATTGTAATAGAGCGAAATCGCTCCTCGCCTGTGGGCTCACCTGCTTCCGCTGCTGTCCTACCTTTCGCGCGCCTCGGGCGCACAACGTCTTCTGCCTGCCGCGCACCCTGTGCGTGTGGCGTTTTTTCTTCCCGCCGCGCGCCCCGAGCGCACGATGGTTTTCTGCCCGCCACGCGCTCGGGGTGCGTGGGGGTTTCCTGCCCGTCGCGTGCCCCGGGAGCGCGCGGCAGTTTCGTCGCCCGTCGTGGCGCCCCGGCGGCCTGCGCGCTGTCCCCTCCCGTCGCCCGTCGTGGCGCCGTGGGGGCCTGCGTGTTGCCCCCCCTCCCATCACCCGCCACGGCGCCCTGGGGGCCCGCGTGTGCCAGCTATGCTTGCTTGCCTTTACTTTATTATGCTATTTCTAGCATAGGATAACTATATACATGCATGAATTGCTTGATTTCCTAGGCTAGGTGCTTTCCTATATTTTATTATAGTTATAGCACCGAGCTAGGTTGCGTGCATCGAATTCTGGGCTTTTCGGTTGCCACCGAATTGCCTTCTACCGAATTTGGGAATGCTCTGTTCGGGACGCTTCGCAACCCTCAGAAACTTCACGTAACACATGGTTACGAGTCCTTGTGTCGAGCCTATATATAGCCTCGTGTTGTACCTAGGAATCATTCAATTACAATTATATTTTCTGAGCTCGATCCTAGATCCTCACACTTGGTAGTCAGAGCCTATTTGCACGCGAAGTTTTTCGACCGCTAAAACCT